CCCAAGCGGCGCGGCGCTACGCGCCGCGGTTTTTTATTCACACGCAAAAAACGCGACAGGGTGGTAACATATGCCCCCCCCCCCCACTGGGGCGAAGGTTAAACGAGGCTTTGAATTTGGTAAAGAGTTGGTATTTTCCTGAGTTTACCAAGTTGGCTCGGTTTCGGTATTCTTCCATGGTTATTGTTGATATTTGGTTTGGTATCGGTATCAAGATTTTCCGTAATTGACATCACTAGAAGGTAGGTATGTCCGAATGAATGAATGGTTGGCTACGGGCCCGGATGCCCAGCGGTGCCTGTTGCGAAGGACACCTCTCACCACCAGACCTTGCCCTCGCCCGGCTCACCACACACCACGCACCCGCGGGTTGTAGTATTGTTCCGATAACTGCTCGTTTTTAAAGCGAACAAAACAAAATACATCGGTAGTTTATTGGTAGTTTATTGCTTATTGAATATTGAGCAAGGTGCAATATCAGTATGTATGCCCAACGTGCCTGCTGCTATTGGCAACAAAGCATTTATTTTCGTTATTATTGAGATGACTAATGTCCTATGTATAATGAGGTACCGTGCAATTGTTCGCTCCATGCTGCCTGGCGTTTCGTGTACGTGTGTCGCATGCATTGCATACTGCATATTTCAGCTGGAACACTAAGGACTAATCAGCCAAATCCGCATTTCACAGATCACTGTGGCAAAAGTCTAATACTAGCTTCCTTATATTTCTAATACACTTGTGTATGTATATTACATAATTTGTAGATCAGGACATATACTAGTTAGCACATGTGCTATAATATATGATATATAAGAGACAAGAGATATAATATATAAGATATATAATATGTATAATATATTTGAGATAACGGACCTATAGAGACTTGATATTTACAGTCAACTTGACGCCAGATATACTATTCTACATAACGGTGCGAAGCAGCGCAGCTAGAAGAAATTACTGCTACAATAATTTTCATTTCTATGCGTTCTTTAGAATTATTTCCTCCACAGCAGCTCTCGTACGCCACCAACCATGCCCTCCCCGCCTGACCGCCGCGCCGCCTCCCCGGTGGTCCCCCTCCCCCCGGGGAGGCGGGGAGGGGGTCCATGGAGATTCCATCAGCGGCGCGGGGCGGTCATCAGTCACGTGGTTCGTCAGCGGTGTCGGCGACAGTGTCACGTGGTGCTCCGCCCACGGCCCGCTGGGAGCGACGGGCCAGCTTCCGGTGGGGGGAGAAGGGGGGTCATCCACACCCCGGCGTGTCTTTGGTCCCCGCCCGGTCTCCGCCCGGTCCCCGCCTGGTCCCCGCTCGGTCTCCGCCTGGTCCACGCTCAGTCCCAGGTCCGGTCCTCGTCTGTCGCCTGGTCGGTTCTCCGCGATCGTTGCCTGATGCTCGTGAGTTCCTCGCTGATTCTCGCGAGTGCTCTCCGAACGATCATCGCTTGCTCTTCATCCATGTCCGGCTTTGCCCTTGGTATGTACCGACCCCTAGGCTAGTCCTCCGTTAGAATAGGTCGCAGTCATATTCGGATTGCGAGTTGCGAGTCAATTAAGGTTATATCTTTTTTCTGGCGTCTTATAATCTGCTGTCATCATGCCTCGAAGAAGGCTTGCATCACGCATGTGCTTTATTTTCTCTACCGGATGATCACAACATGCAAGCTTTTGCTTCAGTTATCATCACCAAATTTATCGTGAATGAACATGAGCAGGCAATCAGGGGCTCTGGTTTTAGCAAGCCAAATAAGTTACGGCATTGGTGTGTAAATAAACGTTCAAATGATATCTCTGCCCTGCTTCTACCTAATGAAGGATGTTATTGGTCTACGTAACTAAGATAAGCATTATTTACTATGCTACAGTACCTAAAATGGTACTGTATAAAATACACATATCTTTGCCGTCTTATCGATCATTAGAGAGTGTGTATTACAAGCTCTGATGTTGTTGATTATTCTTGTTCTGCCATTAGCCGTTTTCACGACGGCCATCTGGTACACATTTAGTGCACATCTGGTACAGATTAGGTGCAGATTTGGTCAAATCAGGTTCAGTGGGTCTCTTAGCAGCTATCAGCTAGGGTTGCACTAATTGCTTATATGCCTGCTTTGTCATATTATCAGAGAGCATCATCGATTAAAACACTGAAATGAATTCATAAAATGAAGATATTTGCTGTAAAAGAAATAAGGTGCAGATTTGATCAAATCAAGTGCATTCGCCGGATATCCCGTCGTGAAAACGGCTATTGTCTACTTAATCAAAATCAGCTGCATTGCCTTAGCTATGTCATCTAACGTCATCTTCAACATCTTTGAACCTAGATGCCGTTTACGCCGGTTTGCAATGTTGCCTCTTTCCATTGTTTTCACTTTTCTGATCATCGATCAATAATGTTGTTCGTCTCTTGAACCGCCCGATGTATGTTTCAAAGATCGGCGAAATATGTAAAGGTCTAACAACGCAACGGAAAAAGAATGCCTATTAGAAATAGCTGAAAATTGCATTGATAATAAGCATGCCAGAAAATGCAAGCAACGCTACTCAGAATGAATTAGTGAAGCTAAATGGTGAATGATAACAACGTCATATTACTCTCCGGTGTTTTCATCACTGCACAATGGACATCAGCCAGAGTCCAATTTCGAGAGATATTTCATTTTAAAAATGTGCTTACTTAGAAAGCAGCTGCCTCACGACCCATTCAAAGAACAACTCACATCTGACCTGCGTCATCGTGGGTGCTACATCGCACCATAGAACCATCATGTCACCAAACCACCAAATATCAGTAGTGCCGGTGCACAGGTCTGTGACTCAGACGAGTAGCTAATGGTGACGAGCTCCGTGACATTGCGCATGCCGTCAGAAGACCGATCGGCTGTCACTGAAGTCAGCAGGAGCGTCACTGCTGATGTCACTGACAACTGGCGTGGTATGACGCCATAGGACCCAGCTTGGCGGCCCTGCTCGCGGAGTGATTAACAAAGAAGTCATCAGGGGTAGATCCGAGGTCTAAGAAAGTAGGCAGTCGAGTTCCTATCCGACCCAACAACGTTTTCCTGTCAGCCGACTTGTGGTTGTGTGATCGAAATTGGACTTCGTTGTGTGGTTATGTTGCGGTTATATGTGGGCATGTAGCATATCTCTTAGACATGCAACGAAATAAAAATCGAGAACCGTAAGCGTGATCCGGATCATTGATGTCCATGAAATCGGGTCTACTCGTATGATAAGCAATAGAGTTTTTATCACCATGCCGTGACTGCTGACCTGCTAGAGACTTATGTAGCATGCATGTAGCAAGTCTTTGGGTGATGCAGCAACGGAGTGAAATTATTAAAAGCTGTGATGCTATTTTTAAGCCAGAAAGCGCGAAGATGTTTAATCTTGACATCTATTGATGTAGCTTTATTTGGATATTATTGTCGACATATTTGAAATGGTTAAAAACAGTCGGAATCAAAACACGACGTCCCTTTGTGAAGTCAAGCACAGTACGCTGGGTGCGATTCAAGCAGTGGTCTCACCTGATAACTACATACACTCAGTCGGAGGCAACTTCTCAACCACACATTCCTGTTCAACCATGTCCTTGTCTCATCATTTCATCGAATCATTGTGTTATCGGGCCATTGTATCATCGTGTCATCGTATCATTACGGTATCGTATCATAGTGTCATCGTATCATTGCGCTATCATATCACCGTGTCAGCATAGTATCTCGTCACCTACCATCAAAACGACATCTGCCGCTAATGTTGCAGATCTTGCTCATAGATACAGGCTGCCGGCTGGTATGCTGGTCGTTTCTTCTACTGATAATATTTATTTCAACAGCCTGTACACGGAATTATCATAAATATGTTCGGCTCTTTTCTAATGGTCCCAATTCTCCTATTAACTTTTGTATGAGACATGTGCGTTGATGAACACAATCATTACATGCCTGTGCTTGGCTTGCGCAGACATTAGACGGCCATTTTTGGCTCAATTAAGAGTCCAATGCCACCTGTAACACAAATCATACCGGGATGTGTACTTAGCCCTGTGTCATCTGTGTAATGGGGTGCTTCACTGGTAAATTACCCCATTTGTTTGCTCCCTGTGTCATCAGCGGCTGTATGTTGCGGACATTGGGCAGGCCATTCTACATTAGCAAATGAACATCACGTAGGTAGGGTATGCCTTTACATATAAGCTCTTTTGATATGGAATTGTGCAGTGTCTGCTAGATATCGCGGCAGTGTCGACAAAAGTTGTAGTATTTTCAAGGGGTTTCTGTTTATTCTCCTTGAATTATCGCGTTTTATGCCTACCAGCTGATTTCCCGTTAACTGAGTAGTAAGCTCCTGATTCCATCAATGCCCCAGCTCCGTTCTCGGCCTTCGCCCTCTGTATGGGGCGCCTCACTGTCGCTTTCTGCGGTGTTCGTCTCAGCGGTGGTGGCTCCCTGATGGGCCAAAGGCGGCGCGTGTGGCGGCCACCGCTCAATGAAGAGGTCACCGGGAGTCGGCGGCGGCGGCGGGTGACCCGCCGTGACGCCTGCTCACGCCGCGATGACCCCCGCGTCGCCGCTCTCCAGGCCTGTCGCCCCCCTCCCGCAGCCCGCCGCGCGCGCAGCCGCGGGACGCTGGACGGCGCCCGCCGCGACTCAGCCACGCCCGGTGGCTAATTAAGCTATCGACTAGTTAGCGTTGCTCTCCTCTGGAGCCGCTGATCGGTGCGCGGAAGGAGGTAATTGCGGCGCGCCGGCAGCTCGGCGCGGCGGCCGTCGTGTGTCGCGCGCCGCGGTGTCGAGCGGCGCCCAGCCGCGGCGCGCAGCCCTCCTCCCGGGCAGACATACCGCGCCGCTGCGCGCACCAATAGCGTCCCACTGGGCGCCCAGCCGGAGGGCGCGCACGCCCCGCCTCCGAGCCGGCCGGCCATTGGTCCAGCGGCCGGCTCCATTGTCTGACAGCCAATCAGCGGACGGCTGGCCGGTCAGCACCGCGGGACCCGGCCTCCAGCTGACTGAGAACGAATCGCACGCGGCGCCTCTGTTGCAGAGGGCACCTCCTGCGGCGCACACGTCCGTCTGAAGACCGCGTATTATGGTTTCAGAGCGGGGCAGTGTCTTGCTGGGTCCTGTGGCGTGCGCTCCGCGCGGTGACCTCTCCGGCAGTGCGCCCCCGCGCGACGAGACGACGGCGTGTCCGGCCACCGGCGACCTGTGGCGAGCACCGTTCGCCCCCACCGCCAGGATGCACGTGGACACTAAACCGGTGGTGAGTCCGTTCATGGAGGCCGGCCACGGCCCGGTGGGACTCATGTTTGGCCCGAGTATGTCGGCAGCAGAGGCCAGCATGCAGAACCAGTATCAGAACGGCTACGGCATGGGCGTACCGGTCAGCCACCACGGCATGCACGGCCACATGGGCTCGTACGCGGCCAGGGACTTCTTCCTGCGGCGTGATCACATGGCCGGCTCTCTGGGAGCGCTGAGCGGCCACGACCTCCCTCAGCAGCACCACAGCGTGTTCGCGTCGTCGGGTCTGTCGCACCACGATCCTGCCATGGTGCTGCCGAGTCTGCACGAGCAGCAGCACGCGGCCATGAACAGTCAGATGCGGCTGGGCTCCATGTACGGCGCCGAGCAGTTCCAGCAGCTCTCCGGCCAACAGTTTAACCACCACATGAACTGGAACATGGGCGCCATGGCCGGCCCGCACGGCTGCTACCGCTACCTGCGCCAGCCGCTCAAACAGGAAATGACCTGCAAGTGGATCGACCCCGACCAGCCGTCGCCCAAGAAGGTGTGCAACAAGACGTTCCACAGCCTGCACGAGATCGTCAACCACCTGACCGTGGACCACGTGGGCGGTCCCGAGTGCACCAACCACGCCTGCTGCTGGCAGAGCTGCTCCAGAAACGGACGCAGCTTCAAGGCCAAGTACAAGCTGGTCAACCACATCCGGGTGCACACGGGGGAGAAGCCGTTCCCCTGCCCGTTCCCCGGCTGTGGCAAGGTGTTTGCGCGCTCCGAGAACCTCAAGATCCACAAACGGACACATACAGGTAAGATCCGCCGACTGGCGCAAACAAAGGGCTTGTCATTGTTGATATCAGTTTTGGGTGGGATTAGTCGTAAAAGTGTGTGATATGTGCGTTTTGTGTAACCGTACATGTGTATTTTATCGTGTATGGTCGCCGTAATCAGTTAGGCTCCAAAAGGGTGATAATTTCGATGCACTGCGCCGCTATCTTGGCATCTGATCGCCGACCTGCTGCTGCGAGATATTATCTAAACAATCCTGACGCAGCAGTCAAACCTTGTCAAACAATCGATCATCGCTGCTGTGAGCTCTCACTTCGCACTCAGCTTGTCTCTGATCCCACTTTGGGTCTCTTTCGGTCGTCCCTCCGCAGTCCCGGCGCGTGCGACGCTGAGGGCCGTTGTTGTTTGTTGGTCCGCCGGCCGGGGCCGTAAACGCCGACTCCCCGCCCGGCGTCCGCCCGGCGTCCGCCCGACGCTCGCCCGGCGCGCGCTCGACGCTCGATCGGTTTCTGTCCTGGTCGCTCTCTCAGTCACTCGATCGTCCGCTGGACGCCAGTCTGATCGTAGATGTTTCTTAGACCGCTCCATCGCGGGTCGATCATGTCACCAGCTCCTCGAACCGACCCTTCGAGGTGACGAGATGTTCGGCATTCTCGTCACGCGCCGGGTGCCAGCTAGCTCCTCAGCAGTGTCGCTCGCACGCGCCCAACGCGACTAGCGCACAGATATCCCAACAATGCGACAGACGTGCCGATTTACATACAAAGTATTCGCCGGCCGTGTCATTGTTTAAAATGTTTCACATTCCGCTACGGCAAAAACTGTGTCATCCGTCTGTGGGTGGTGCTGCCGGGCCGCTTCACCAGGCTCGCTCGGGCGGACCGGGAGACCGGGACCGTCCCTACATGGTCCCGGTCCGTCCCGAGATGACTCTCGGACTCCGAGTCCGGAGTCGGACGGCCGCTCTGTCTCCGATCTCATCATTACGGGCCGGTCGACTGGTCATTTGTTAACCGGTGACCATTTTACCTGGCCGGACCGTGTCCTTTGAGGCGCCACGGCCACTTGAAGCTAAAGCACTCGTAGATCGCCCCAGATGAGCGAGCAGTACCGGCTCCTTTCTGTCGGTCATTTCTCTCTGCGAGTCCCGGCCGACGCGAAACAAAAAGATTGTCCTTGTTCGGACCGAGCCCGCACTGCTATCCATCTGGCCAGTCTCGTAACTCGGACGCCGCGACCGTGCGATATTCCGGGCTTTCCCTTAAATATTTCTCATGTTAATTCGTCCGACAAAAAAGTGTGCTCGCTTCGCGTGGAATGTGCGGGCGACAGAGTGTGTAGGACCGGCCCGGCACTGTCCTCGTAATGACGGTCGTACTGCGGGGGTGGCGGCGGCGATGGAGGGTGCCTTCGAATCCTGGGATGGTAGCAAGTGGCCTGGGTGCTGCCTCAGAGAACGATGATGTCCAGAGAGTTACCTTTCTTGGTGGAGGCGGAAGCTCACCTACCTACCGTAGAGTGGGCGGGTCACTGGCCAGATTCATTCGCGGTGGTCAGGCCGTGTAGGCCGCGCCAGGGTTTACAGTGGTCAATAAATCAAGGCGGTTTAAATGGAGGTTCGATCGGGGGCGGGGGGAGGGCGGTCGAGGGCCACTTGGGGTGAGACGATCGCCTTGGGAGGTCTCCCTGGCACCCGTCTGGTCCCGTCGCCTTCCCGTCCCGTCTCCGTCCCCGTCCCGTCGGGGTGTTATGGTCGGGTGGCCGGCAGGCGGCAGCCGTCGCCGCCACAGATCGAAGTCATCAGATGCCATCTGAGCTCAGTCTGTCGGGGCGAGTGTGTGCCCTGCCGGCCGAACGGGGTCTCCGCGACGAGAAGTAACGGTACTGGTGAGGGTAGCCTCCCCAAAGTGGTTGTTAGAGCCGGCATACCATCTGCGACAGAAGTTGATTGATTGTTGTGTTGTCGAATAGACGGGCAATTTTTATCATTTGAATCTAGTACACCATTTATAAAAGAGGAAATTTATATTAACTATCTAAAAATGTCAATCTTAATAAACAGTATAAGAGAAGAGCACTCTAAAAATACATTTTCATTCAAGTGCTTACTGCTTTGCTCAGTTATGATCTGAAGATGCTCATCTAGGCGAACAATAAATATGTTCACCATTCACTCCGTAATTTATATCGCAAATCGCAAAAAAACATGACCACTGCTGGCTCCTTTCAATGAGCAGCTTCTGTTCACTTGTATAACGCTATGCCTCACAAATTACCCCTAATTTGTTATTGAGGCGCCTTGGTAGTCTGAAACATATCAATGTCATCGTCGTCGTACCTTGCATTGTGGACTTTGCGACTAACAAGTTGCCCTAATTTATCTCAAGCATGTGCTGGAAATTATCAAGTAGGCTAGTGTGCAAGCGTAGTTTTATCGAAGATTGAGGAGTAAGCATGACTTTCAACGGAAATAGACGGAGCTGTGCCATCCTTCCTCTCCATTCCTCCGACCCTCTCCCCGATCGCGCCGGTTTGGTGCGATGCGCGTGCAGCGTGGGCCGTCCGGTCGCCGCCCCTGCCTCCCCTCGGCTCACAAATCAGCCTCTGGCCGGCGGCGGTCCGCCTCCTCGGCTACCGTGCTCTGCTTTACGGCAAACAGGTCCGGCTCCGGTAATAGCGTCCGCTGCCGGCACCCCATGCCTCAGCCGGCGAGCAATACTGCCGCGTGGCACGCACCCGACTGCCTGCTTGGCCGGAGGCGTCACCCGACTGAGCATTGAGCAGTGAGCTGGGGTGTGCAGAGTGGCTGAGGGTCGTGTTAGGCTGCGGGTCACTTCCTTACTTTGCTGAATCTTACCGAGTGAGGTGGCTGTGGCAGTTCACTAGTTGAACATTGAAGGCAGAGGGGTGGGAATAGGTAACTAACTAATGGTCCAGAGTAACAACTGGGCCAGACTGGTTGAAATGGCAACCGGAACATTGCATAATGGAAGTGAGAGCTTACGACACATGCCAAGGGTTCCTCCTTTTTATTCGAGGCCTCTTATTTTTTAGTCATACCGGTAGATTGTAATTTAAAATTTCAATTTCCCTCCCCGCTCTCCTCCTGTTTCCTTCCACTCCCCTCTCCAACCCCACTTCTTGCCACTGCTCCTTTCCGTCGCCCGAGGCCCTAGTCTCAGAGCTCCACCGGCTTCTCCTGAGCAGCGATGCGGCGATGCCACACAACTCAGTCCGTCGGCCTGCCGCGGGATTGCTGCCATGCACCTCTGCGCCGCTCGGGGCCGCAAAAACGGCCAGCGCGCTGCCCGACTGCATTCTCGACCGGATGAGCTGCCCAGAGCGACGGCGAGACGCGGAGGCGGCAGGGGAGGAGTGGAGCGGTGGGTCTGGAGGATGGCATAGCCCTGGAATGGGCCAGAAAGGAGCAGTGAAGACATGCCTTCTGTTGGGCCATATGGTTAAACACTATCACATATATTTTTTTTCTTCCAGCACTGTTCGATTGGTGATCCAAATGTTTTCATACTTAGCTCATTTGGTCATTTGATTTCCTTGAAATGGGCAGAGGTGATGTAATGCCATTCGGGTGAAGCTGAAATCCCAATCCGTTCATCCGTCGGCTGACTGTGTCGTCCAGCCTCCGTCGTGCTGAGCCACTCCCAGCTGTGTTTTGACGGGGACGAACGCCGGCCGGCGGCGGCGGCGACACCGGGGTGCGAACTGTCCTGACATGAGACACCGGCGCCGCCGATGATGGGTCGTGGGAGGGGGAGGGGGCAGCTGACCCCTCATCCGTCTCCCACGCGCCGGCGAGCCCCCATTTGACCCCCTGTTTCCGGTGGCAGCGAGCTATCGGTCCCCGGGGGACGGTGGTTTGCAGATGCGGGATCGGTCCCCAGGGGACGGCAGATCGAGTTAGGTTAGCGGGCGCTTGTGGAGGGAGACCGACGCTTGTATGTGTGTGAGCGGGATGAGGTTAGATTTGGTGGTAATGCGATCAGCACAGCGCAGAGTGGGCTCTAATGGGACTGAAGATGAGCAATGGACGGGGAGGTTAGTTGGCACTAGCTGCGCACCTAAAATCAGATAAGCTACAGAAACATTTTGTTGTAATTACGTTTAGTGTAAGCATTTGATAGCTAGGCCCAAGAGACTATTACAGATCGCATTTAGTTTGTTTCAATGTTGAGAAGACTTCATTTAAATTTGCTTAGAAGTAATGTTCATAATTATGCTGCTTTGGGTGCCTTGCTTATCTATGCATTTCTAGCTTCCGATATCAGTATCTTTTATGCCAAAATACAATAGAAACAACATTATAATATTTATAACAGCAAATCAAGTAATGACTGCTCTTTGCTGACTCAATTCTACACAGTTTCTTAATTAATAGCCATAAAATATGGCACATCAGACGGCATTATACCCATTGCAGCTGCTTGCTACTTCCAGGTACAGCATAAACACTTTGTCGTCACATTATTAGAAGGAAAACTACATCTATCAGCAAGAGCTAATTAAGTTTATGGTAATTAAGAACAATGCCAATGAATTTGTGATCACAGTTGCATTTCATTCAGTCAGATTAATTACAACAAAATTAATGTGCGAAAGTTGTCATGAATTACGTGCATGGCACCGTGCAATTTCCTGCTCCCAACAGAAAATAAACGCCCTAGTGAAAGAAAAACAATGCCCGTTTTGCACAGCTTTAGTTCACCTATCTTTATTTGAACATGTTGACTACTGGTTTGGTTCCATAGAAATTGATTCTGAAATCGAAACCATAACTTATCAGGTAAGTCGCAATTACATCTCAAAATCTGTCGCGGCCATGATACTTGCATAATCAGGGCCAATTCAATATCGAACCAGTGTGTACGTCTAATCACATGGCTGAACTAACTACAAAGCCAACTGCAGACTAAGGCTCACTCCGCTTCAGTTCCAGCTTCTCGAAACTAAAGTATTCCCTCCTAGATTTTCTAACTCTCAGCCCCACCTCTATTTTCTAACT